GTGGAACTGCAGGGGCTATCGGCGCAAGCGCGGGGCGCTCACGCAGTTCCTCGCCACACTCGACGAAAAACCTGAAGTTATCGCGATGCAGGAAACCGCGTGTACACCGGCACTCTCGGGATACGTGACTTGTGCTTCAAAACCGGAACACGAGGGCGTACCTCCGAGGGTAGCCACTCTCGTAGCCAAACATCTACCGTTCGTTCCACATCAGTTAGAAAGGGTCACTGGCATACCATATGTCTTTCTCGAGTTGCTCCCGCAGAAAAGCGGACAGAGCAGTCTTTTCGTCCTTAATTTGTACAATTCACCGAGGGCGAGAAAAGACACCTTTGACGCGATTTTTAGAGACGCTATCGCCTTAACCAAACCGAGCGAGAATACGCTTCTCATAGTAGGGGATCTGAACGCGGCCCACCCGGCATGGGGATATTATCAAGAGTCGGTGAAGGGACGAAAACTAGCCACGGCCATAGACAGAAATCAGCTTACGCTCCTCAACGAGCCGGATCAGCCCACGAGGGTAGGAAACAGCGCGAGCCGCGACACGTGCCCGGACCTCTCCCTCGCCAGAGCGAGAGGCCCGTGCACGTGGACCAACCTCCAGGAGAGTCTGGGCAGCGATCATTTTATCATTCAAATTCAAGTTCCAGTGCAGGCTCATCGTAGACACAAGAAGGCCCTGCGGTTGGTCAACTGGGACTCGTTCCGCCAGCTCAGGGCTCAGACAAACGCCGAAGAGATAGGTGAAGACGTACCATTGGCACAATGGGTAAGAAAACTCCACGCCGACATTCACAGAGTAACCAAGACAGTTCAGACGACGGACAAGGCGCCCGTCGTTGACCCGCATCTTCTCCATCTATGGGAAGCCCGTCGTGGCCTAACTAAAAGATGGAGAAGACAGAAACATAATCGGAAACTAAAAATTCGCATAGCCAAAATTACCCAAGAAGCTGAGCGTTATGCAGAGGAGCTCACCCAATCTAATTGGCATAAACTATGGGACAAACTACAAGGTACCCTAGGAACCAGGCAGACCTGGAGTCTGCTCAAGAGTCTGCTTGACCCCACAAAGAGTAGGACCGAAACCAACAAGGCTATAATAAAACTTGTTCATCAAACGGCACACAACGGGGAGAACGCCTTGTGGGAGTTCCTAAAGGAACGTTACATCGCATCCGGCCCCAAACCAAACTACCGCCCATATCCCCATGAAGAAGCAGACCATCCGCTGGATCAGGACATATCTGAATACGAAGTTAGGGGAATACTCACTGGCCTAACCCGCAATAGCGCTCCCGGAGAGGACGGAGTCACGTACAGGATTCTCAGGAATCTGGACGATGCCTCCGTTTCGGCCCTCACATCATACTTTAACAGGGTATGGAGTACCGGTGTCCTCCCACCGGAATGGAAACACGCCGAGATCACCTTCATCCCGAAACCTGGGAAGGCTCTCACGCTAGAAAACCTTCGTCCCATTTCACTAACATCGTGTATAGGTAAGCTTCTGGAACACATAGTTCTCAGACGCCTTCAATCCCATCTCGAAGCTAACGGATTTCTTGGGGACACAATGTTCGGGTTTCGACAAAATCTGTCAGCACAGGACGTCCTCCTACAGCTCAAAGAGGACATCCTAGACTTTCCTGGAAGAACGCAGACGAGAGCGGTACTCGCACTGGACCTTAGAGGAGCTTTTGACAACGTGTCTCACGACGCCATTCTCGAGGGCTTGACCAGAGCACACTGCGGCAAAAAAACTTACGACTATGTCCGTGCGTTTCTGACGGACAGGACCGCTACTCTAGGGCTGGGAGATCTTCGCTCCCAGCCCATCAAGCTCTCGGGGAGGGGAACGCCACAGGGTTCCGTCCTTTCGCCGACTCTTTTTAATATAGCCATTTCAAGTCTCCCGACCCTGCTGGGGGCCATCCCTAACGTCAGGCATGCTCTGTATGCAGACGACATCACCATCTGGACAAGCAAGGGTTCGGATGGGGAGATACAGGATGGACTTCAGGAGGCGGTCGAAATCACTCAGAAGGTTGCAGAAGCAGCAGGACTAACTTGCGCCGCCGACAAGTCTGAGCTTCTACTCATTAGAAGCAAACCTTGCACTAAAGCAGATGAAATTTGTTTAAATCTAAATGGAGAGAAGATACCCACAGTCGACAGACTCAGGGTACTCGGCCTACATATTCAGTCCAACGGCAAGGCATCCTTCACCGTGCAAATGCTTCGCAGGCAATGCCAGCAGATTGCCCACCTCATACGAAGGGTGGGCAATGGACGTGGCGGGCTTAAAGAAGCCGACACCGTGAGAATTGTCCAGGCTCTTCTAGTAAGTAGAGTTATCTACCATTGTCCCTTCCATAACTTTAAACGCAGAGAGATAGACACTCTCAATACGATCCTCCGAACTGCTATAAAAACGGCGGTTGGATTGCCTCAGCATACATCCACGCAGCGCCTTCTTCGACTTGGTATTCACAATACTATAGAAGAACTGATTGAGGCTCAGGCTGTTGGACAGCGTACAAGACTCAGCTACACACAGCCTGGAAGAAATCTCTTAGCCAGGCTGGGCTACAAACCACTTAATAAAGAACAGGGCTGCATACAGCTAAAATCTGTCCCACCGAGCATTGCGGCTAAAATACGAGTTTTGCCCCTACCAAAGAACATGCATCCCACTCTTAATGCAGGTAGACGCCTCGCGCGTACCCGCTACCTAAGGCTCAAATATCAAAACGACCCAGACGTCTGTTACACTGACGCTGGGGAGTACACTTCCCCACGTGAGGCAAAGTGCATAGTCGTCTGCGACTCGCTTGGACGAGGTGAAGCGATAGCGTCTCTCGCCTCTCCCACATTGATCGCGGAGGCCGAAGAAGCGGCAATAGCATTAGCCGTAGCACAGATTTCGCGTAAAACTGAAAACACAGACAAGACCTGTACCATAATCACTGATTCACAGCCAGCGTGCAGGGCGTTCGCGCGATGCATCGTCTCACAACGAAGTGGACACATTCTAAACACAGTTAATCAAAGCACACTACCCGCAATCCAGATAGTCTGGACTCCTGGACATACCTCCCTTTCTGGCAACGAGAGTGCGGATGCACTCGCCCGAGAAATAGCCGGCCGGGCGTTGCATGGGGAAGGGGAGGCACCGGAGAATCACAACATGACCACATCGAACTTACGCACAGAGCCAACACCGCTTCACACGTACAATCGAATCACGGCATTTTACAGATCACAGCGTAGAACACTACCCCCTCCGCACAGGGACCTATCTAGGCAGGAAGGGATTGAGTGGCGACAGATACAAACACACACTTTCCCAAATTTGTACCACAAGCATCTATTTTTCCCAAACAGATACCGGGGCACCTGTCCCGGCTGCCAATCCCCCGAACCTTCCCTTTTCCACTCTACCTGGGCCTGCCCCTCTCCACCGGGGCAAGGCATCCTTCCCATCCCTGACCCATCCTTTACCTCCTGGGAGGCTGCGCTGTCTAGCGCAAAGCCCGAGGACCAGCGAATGCTGATCTCTCGGGCTAAGCGGATAGCAGAGGCCAACGGGGCCCTGGACTAGGGGCTCCCGACCAGAGAGAAGACACTCATGCCTTTTCCCTGAATAAAGTTTTTCCTCCTCCTCCTCCTCCTACCTTCAGGTCATGGTCTACACGTGATGATATGTACGATGGTTCTAAAAACAATGCTTCACGGGGAGCGGGGTTAGAGTAATAAATCTTGTGAAATAAACATAGACGAGATATTTTTCTTCGGCGAGAGAGATCAGGTAAGGAGAGGGACGATTTCATGGAAGTTACACTGGCTGTACGATGATAGTTCGAGAGTATGAAACGGGCAGAACGATTCTGAATAGATTTATCATGCTAGGATGGCATGATGAATCTATTCTGAATAGATTCATCATGCTAGGATGGCGTCAACTCAGCAATCGGGCCCAACACCAAGCGCCCTTCGAGGCTTTTGGTTGGCCACGAGGGCCAATCGAACGCTGGCGCTGCGCTCGTGCCCAATCAGTGCTGCGTCAGCGTAGGCCTCGTGGCCAATCAAAGCGTCAAATGGTGCTTGGTGTCGGGCCTGATTGCTGAGTTGGCGCCATCCTAGCATGATGACATTGCGTAGATGTAGATCAGGTTGTTGACACGCTTGGATTATTAAGGCGAAAGCCTTATATGTCTCATCGTTCAGTCGACCATCAAAGTCCTTGAGCGAAAACACGTCGGCGACACGAAGGGTACGAAAACGTTTACGTGACCACTCAGGCGAATCAGAGGCAATGAAATCAAGAAGGATGATAAAGCCAATTAAGAGTAATCAAAGCGAATTAAGAGGAAGAAAAGTGAATTAAGAGTAACTTAGAAGAGTAGTCAATGGTAGTCAATGGGAATCAAGAGGGACTACAAAGCGAATTAAAAGGAATCAAAGTGAATTAAGAATAGACCTATCTCACCAAGCATTCGACGCATGCGCGAGGCGGCCATAACTTTAGTTCACAGGAGGCAATCGGCAGTGCACGAGGCTGTTCGTGCCCTGCACGCGCAGAGCTCCAGCCAGGTCGTCGCACGCGCAAAAACACTAAAGATCCCTCGATGCATTGCGGCAGCGGTGGCGTAGTCAAACTGGCTGGTGAGATCGGTCTATTAAAGAGATGTATGAGGACTGCGAGGAATTGTGTGCGTGAAATCTGGAAACACCATATGAAAGAAATTAAGAGAATTAAAAAAAAAAGAGAATATCAAAAAAGAGAACGTGAAACAAAGTAAATCATGTGTCTTTCTTTAATGCATCGGCACCTTGGCTTTCGCCTTCAAGTCGTCCTAGGAATAACTTAAGAGACCCTGTGTTCTATGCGATGTTCGTACAAGTCCTGTAAAAACTCCGCTTTGTCAACTCGACACCCGGATTAGTGAATATTCATACACGCGATCGCTAAAAACACTTTGAATACATGTGGGTCTCAAGCTCTTTATTCCGTTCGTCCATCTGTTTTTTGTTAAAAGATGCCAACAGCTGCTACTGTCTTGGTCAGGGCGTAGTTGAGGAGGTTGCTAACCTTGAGTTCGTCGGTGGAAGTAGGCCCGGTCTCCTCGGCGACGACGTCGAAGAAGCCCGAAGCACTCTCCGCGGTTTCGGGATCTTCCTGCGCATCTTGCGGGACTACGCCTTCTTCCGGAGACCCCGTTCGGCCCAGCAGCGGAGGCTCTTGAGACTCCCCAAATTCCAAGTCGAAGACGTCTCGACTGACCAGACCGCATGTGTACGACCGTTCCAACTCGTCGCTGATTAGAAGATTCGCCGTGGCACGGGCAGCTTGGAGCGCACAGCAGGGGACCACGAGCTTCAGCAGCTTCCGGAAGAAGACGCGCGTCCTTTTCTCGTCGGCCTTCTGCGTCGGCTGGAGTCCCACCAGGATGTAGCCCTGATCCAAGATGACGGCGTGGCTCTTCTCGATGTGCCGCCTCATCCTCGGCAGTTTGGCGGCCCGGACCCCGCACAGGGGACAGGCGTACGTCTTGACAAACGTGAGGCGGTGGGCGTTCAGAGAGGCCCGCGTCTTGAAGGTGTCCTTGCATTGGTCGCAGATGAAGCGGTCGGGGTGTACCTTGCGGCAATGGCTGTGGTAGAGGTTTCTGGTGAAGAACGAGGAGTCACAGCAGCGGATAGCCGTATAGACGTCGCCGTGCATGCGCTGGCAATGCGCGGACATGGCAGCCGGGGAATCCGCGGTGGTGGCGCATTCGGAGCAGCGGATGACGTCGTCAAGATCAACGGTGCCCATGCTTGTGAGAAAAGGAAGGTAATTAAAAAATTAATTCCGTAATGTGACCAATTTCCCCCCCTCCTTCGAAACCTATTTAAGACAGGGCTACGCAGCTCTAAGAACCACTCCACTTACGCGGACACCGCGGGTGGAATGAAAGTTTCAGCAACACGCACGTCATAATTGACGTAAAATCGCACGAACTGCGCTTGCCCTTCAGCTTTCTAGCTAAACTGATAAAACACGGCTCGCTGATTCAGATCAGTAGCGGAATCCGCGCTGAGTCGTCGACGGTTGATAACCACGAACTGTTAACGACTGGACGCGAGCAACATGTTTTTATTGTTATTTGCTTTGCGAGTCCATGGCAGAGATAAAGGCGTGGTGCCTACAAAGCCTTTGCCCCATAAAGAAAAACGGATCAGGATAATAACATGTACACAACAATCCTGCAAAACAAATCAAAACAGTAAAAGTTCTGGGTGCGTTCTTGCTGTGCATCACTTCGATTGACGGGACAAACCTTTTTCCGAAACAGGTTTTGGCCTCGAAACCCGGGTTTAGAGTTTCGGGTTTGCGGGTTTCGGAATGTTTCAGAAGGGAAGCCGAATTTCTACTGTTTCGGATAGGTTCGGATAGTTTTGGAGAGTTGTCGGACCCCATGGGGTGAGTGTTAACTTTTTTGTAACGAAATATTTTATAAACCGCATGAAATTATTAGAATTTTAGTAAATTAATACACTTTATTTATTAAAATGAGCTTCTCTCAAGTACTTTCTGGAATTTTTTATGTGTGTGCCGGGGTCGGCAGCTTTGATTTGAGCACCGCACCTTGAGGGTCAAAGTGGTTTCTATTTCACAACGGCCATATTTTGATAATCACGTGATCAAAACTTCGCGGACAAGACGGCTAGCGAACATCGTCTTCATGATGCTCGCCTGAACCCGATCGAAGGCAATTGTTATCGGTGAAAAGAAAGTAAGCCGCATTACGGTTTAGGTTATTGCTTTCGCCATGTTGCGTATCTATTCAATGTTTATTATATTCCAACGTTTCTGACATCCAAACAGAAGCAAGGAAGAAAACGACAAAGCCCCACGCCTTGTCATAACCAATGGACAAGACCGAATCGCGCTCTGCGATAGTTGAATAGGCATTCTTGCTTTGGCCGACATTATTATAAACACGCTTGTGCGCTATATTTTGATATAGAACTTTGAAGCGCACCTGATATTAGGAAATATTTTTTTTCAAAATAAACATTTTATACTGTTGTATACGCAGTTCTTAGGCGCCCGTTTTCGGGTTGAGCGGCGTCGGCGTCGGTGTAACCGCGCGCGTTGCATTATGGGAGGTTTACCCGCTAAAGGTAGCGGGGGAAATTTTCCCGTTAAATTTTGTGGGTAATTTTTGCGCTAAATTTAGCGGGGGAAATGTTCCGCTAAATTTAGCGGTTAGGGGATCTGACATACTTTACCGGGAGTTCACGTAAGATGTTTCGTTAGCCCTTTGAAGTGACCGCGCAAATTTCACCATGTTGAATTAACATGAGACTGGAGTAGAGAAGAAACATCAAAACATAGAAGGGACAGGAAATAGACAGGACGATGTCTCAAGCACGTCGTCCTGTCTATTTTCTGTCCCTTCTATTCAACATGGTTAATATTCACCAGCTCGCCTGAACCCTTGCGATTTTTTCTATGCGCAAATTTTCTTGTTAACGTGCGTGTTACGATTTACTACAGAGATGCCCGGACATGGTGGATTAATCTTTTTTTTTTTTTTTTTTGAAAATGAGGAAATAAACCTTTTTAGGGAAAGAAAGAAAATGAAAAAAAAAGAAGCAGTTTTTTATGGGTAAATTTTCGCGAAATCTCTTTTTCGCGAAACTATCAAACATTTTTCTGGGAAACTGAGGCGTTTATTATAACTGAAAAAATGGGTGGAATAAAAATAAAATACAATATTACATAACATAGCCTTTATTTCGCCAGAATTAACGCCACAGTGGCTCAAAATATCATTTGGTGTTTATACGCAAAATAAAAAAAAAAAATAAGATTTTTTTTTTGTTTTGTTTAGTGAACTATTTTATTGAAATTTTACTGATTACTTCCACCACCTAAATACGTCTGTGTGCTAAATACCTTCGCAATATATTACAAAACTGTTTTATGCGGTTATTTCGTGGAACAACGGAACATCGTGAACTCCATACAATGCAGTTTATGCAACCTAAGATTCGACAATGCCCTCTTGCTTTGCTACGCATGCACACACACAAAATTGAAACAAAACCTACCAGATTTTTTTGTAAATTCTGGGTGTCTCTTGGTATGATACGGTCCGCTGCTGCCGTGCCGAAGGTTTGGGTATTTCCCTGACAAACTGCCAATTTCTTGGGCCCCCGCAACCACGCATCAAGGAGCGTCCTTTTGGTAGCCATAATGATTAAAAGTGTAAAACTTTAAATACTGTGTATTTTTAGCGTTGCACTCGTCAAAACAAAAAGTACATCCTTTGATGTTGAGATGTCCAAACAAACCGTACGCGGATTTTACAGTGACAGATCTACAACTGCCGTTTCAGAGAAGTGACAGGGCGAGGAGAAGGAAGGCTGGGGAGGAAGCAGATGGACTCTGGGAGACGAGGAAGAAAAGTGAAAGCCGTTTACAACTCCCTGTAACGCCGAAATGGAGCGCAGCTCTTGAGGAGGAGGAGGGAAGGGTACTGAGGGGAGGGTAGACCCCTGCTCCTCCTCCTCTTCCCCTCATTCTTTAACATGCTCCGGGGGGTCACCTGACCTCGGGAGGGGGGGTCACGTGACCTCGGGGGAGGGTGTCACGTGACTTTGGGGGGGGAGGGGGAAGGGGGTCACGTGGCCTCGGGGTCACATGACCTTGGGGGGTCACGTGACCTCGGGGTCTCGTGGGGGTCACCTTGGGGGTCACGTGACCTTGAGGTGACCTTGGGAGTAGGTGTCACGTGACCTTGGGGGGTCACGTGACCTTGAGGCGACCTTGGGAGGGGTCACGTGAGCTCGTGGAGTCACGTGGCCTCGGGGGGTCACGTGACCTTGGGGGGTCACGTGACCTTGGGAGGGGTCATGTGACCTCAAGGGGTCACGTGACCTTGGGTGTCCCGACCTGGGGGGTCGCGTGACCTTGGGGTGACCTTAGGGTCACGTGACCTTGAGGTGACCTTGGTTACGCCGACGGCGACGCCGACGCCGCTCAAGCCGGAAACGGGCGCCTAAGAGCTGCGCTCTATAAACATCCCTCTCGTTCCAGCACCTTCAGTGGCGATGCCCTTTTTTATTTCAGCAAGTTTCCTGTTTTAGAGCGCAGCTCTTAGGCGCCCGTTTCCGGCTTGAGCGGCGTCGGCGTCGCCGTCGGCGTATCCAAGGTCAACCCAAGGTCACGGGACCCCCAAGGTCACGTGACCCCCTAGGTCATGTGATGCCCAAGGTCACGTGACCCCCAGGTCACATGACCCCCCAAGGTCACGTGACCCCTCCCAAGGTCACGGACCCCCCAAGGTCACGTGACCCCCCGGAGGTCACGTGACTCCCCCGAAGTCACGTGACTCCCCCGAAGTCACGTGACCCCCCGAGGTCACGTGACTCACCTGAGGTCACGTGACCCCGCCGCCGAGGTCACGTGACCCCCACCCGATGACATCATCGTCACTGATGACGTCACCGGCATCCGCATCGTCATCGACGTCATCACTGATGACGTCCCCGGCATCCGCATCGTCATCATCATCATCACTGATGACGTCATCAGTGACGTCACTGATGACGTCAAAGGCATCCGCATCGTCATCATCGCTGATGACGACATCAGTGACGTCACTGATGACGTCACCGACATCCGCATCGTTATCATCACTGATGACGTCATCAGTGACGTCACTGATGTCGTCACCGGCATCCGCATCGTCATCGTCATCATCACAGATGACGTCACAGATTACGTCACCGACATCCGCATCGTCATCGTTATCATCACTGGTGAAGTCATCAGTGACGTCACTAATGACGTCATCGGTATCTGCATCGTCATCGTCACTGATGACGTCAGTGATGACATCATCGGCATTGTCATCGTCACGCGACCCCCAGGTCACGTGACCCCCCTCCGGTCAGTTGACCCCCCCCCGTACCCTTCCCTCCTCCTCCTTAAGAGCTGCGCTCTAATTCGGCGTTACAGGGAGTTGTAAACGGCTTTCACTTTTTATGGTCGTCTTTGAAAATAGGCTGAAACCGTCTGGGTGCATGATAGGGCGCCCGCCTGAACATAGCAGGCTGGCTCGCCAAGACCCAAAATTGTGTTTCAGAAACATATACCGGCGAAGATGCCGCGATTCTTTGATGTCTCCGACGACCACCGTGGTAGCAGCGCTTCAACACAGACTGCAGTGCGATCTCTCCCTTTACAACCTGTGTCGCCCTTCTCTTGCCTTGGGAGTTGGGAAACTTTTCCCCCTCAACTCGCTACATCTGTAGGCAGTCTCCGTTCAAGAAGGGCTTTCTTCTCGCGCAGACCGTCTCCCCGCCTCGCGACCGGCCCTGTGCCCCCCCCCCCCCCCAAAAAAAAAAAAAAAAATAGGAGGAATTTTTGTGTTTTTGGAGAAACGTCGTTGCTCAAAATATAAGCAACACGAAGAAGCCGGCTGGCTGTGTGGACAAAAACAGTGCGCTGCACGTTCCCCCTGATGTCCAACCCGCGTGTGGAGTAGGGTAGGGAGCCTTCATGTGCGCACATGAAGGCACCCTAGACTCCCTCACTGTGCTATGCAAGCCCGAGGCGCCGGCTCTTTTTTTTTTCTCTCTTTCCCATTTTTTGAAGCTGTCGCGTCGTCCGCGGTTTACTGACGCTTCGCTTTAAAGACCGACGACTAGTTCGCGTTTTCCACTTTTCCCTTGCTCCTCCTCTCCCCCCTTCTACCAGGTCCACCGTTGCCGGTTTCCTCCTCCCCTATGGTGAGGAGGATGTTCTGCCTTGCAGAATCTCAACTCTGGTCGTCGGCCTTTAAGCGCGAAACACATGTACGACGAAACCGTCCGATCCGACGTGCGGACTGCCGGAACGACCTTGGGGGCGAGGGTTTTCGCAGCACCGGAGAGTGTTGAAAACCCTCGCCTCCGACCGTCGTATCGCCTGATCGGACGTCGGATCGGTCGGTTTC